AGTGGATTTCTTGCCTGCCGCAGATCTCACGCTTGCACTCTACTTAGTGCACGCAATCAACCACCAGGCCACAGTCTCCAGCGTACAGCTCACATGCGCTGCAGTCAGCTTTGCCCATCGCATGACAGGGTCAGCCAACCCAGCGAACGGCCCGTTCACAACGCAAGTCCGAGAGTACGCCAAACGACACTGCCCTCGGCCTACACGAGTGAAAGAGCCCGTCTCCCTCCATCAAGTCCAGGCAATGGCGGGGCCTTTTCTCCAGTCACGCGAACCCGGCACCTACCAGAAGGGCCTCATCGTGCTGCTCATGTACTCGGCCTTCCTTCGAATCTCGGACCTGGTGTCCATCCAGTGGGAGGACATCCAGTTCGAGGCTACGGCAATGTGGCTCCTAATTCCGCACTCCAAAACCGATCAGGAGAGCAAGGGCGTATGGGTCCCCGTTGCCGCGACTGACGGACCATTCTGCCCCGTGCGGTGCACCAGGCACTTCATCAAGCTGGCACAGTACGGGCCAAAGACCAAAGGCCCGTTAATTCGTATTTTTCGACGCAACTTCCCGCCATCCTCGCAGGATACCGCCCCATCATACCCCACTGTCCGCACGTGGTGCTTGCAGGCATTCCAAGCAGCCGGCATCGACCCTACAAACCTCGGCACCCATTCATTCCGCAAAGGGGCAGCAACAGTTGCAGCGAGTACGGGCATCCCGGACCGCCTTTTCAAAAGACTAGGGCGATGGCGGAGCGAAACCGCGAAGGACCTTTATGTCACCATCTCCCACGATCACCTCCTTGCTGCGTCGCGGCGCCTTCACGATCAGGCGCACGTTCCGTCCCCCTCGCAGCATGAGCGTGCCCTTACTCGACACCGCCAACAAGCACTCACCATGTCTCAGAAAACCCAGTTGAAATGAGACGTTGCATTTGCAAAGACAAATAGCAAGCCTTCACAATATGTAAATTTTTGAAAGTGTGTAACACTTTCTAAAATTGTGTATTGTGAATAGCGAAGATATTTGTACCGAAGCAAAATGCTTCGGCGAACCGCTACTTCCCCTCTTTTTCGGTATAAAAGAGGGGGCGAAGGCCATTTGGCCTTCACCCACGTTTTTCATTTCAAACTTTCAGTTTCCAGTTCCCCACCCTCCCACCCTAGTATAGTAAAGAATTCATCGTTGTTACTATGTAATATGCTTGGACGATAAAAAATCTTGTACTTGCCAGTTGAAATGAGACGTTGCATTTGCAAAGACAAATAGCAAGCCTTCACAATTATTGGATCTGCGATTGCGTCGCACGATCCGGCCACCCTCGCGACCTGCTAATCTGACACATTTGCAAAGCGGCCTGCAAATCGGCCACCAAATGTGTCAGATTTTTCACCCCCGTAAATGTGGCCGGATATTGGTCGTTTTTTATGTCGACCCTGTTGTCGACTTTGGCGAAAGATTTAGTCGACCAAATTGTCGACCAAATTCCATCCAAAACACTTTGTAACGGATCTGACGCACCCTAAGTGACAAAGAGTGCACGCTGGGGACGGCACCGAGTGCTTCGTTGGGAATGCATTTGCCCTCTTTATACGACAGAGCATGACTTTCCCCAGTGTGAGTGTCTTTCTTTTTTGGGAACGTTCGCAATATCAGGGCTGTTACAAACGAGGAGGCAACCTGTTGCCTCCACGCTCCTCCAACAGAACATCTCAATGACGAGGCAAGGCAGAGTGCCATTCCACATCAGCAGCGTGTGTATTCGGCACTTGGGCACGAGTGCTGATCTGCGCTGTCCACGCTGCTATCGCGCCTGGAGGAACGTGGGAAATCTTGGCCGTTGAGTACACATCCTCCCTCATAGCCTTTGAGGCGCGGTTGATCTGTCACGTGCTGCCTTCGCATGGCTGTACTCTTTTGTCTATATCTTTGATTCTTTCGCACTTGCCCAGGATGTTCCCTCAGGATAATTCCACGTCCGGTCTGTTTTTACAAGGCAGTTCGAATTTAGACCGCCCATTTCTGATCTGACTTGTGAGAGTTTGACGGCTCGATGACGCTATGCCAAAAACACTTTTAATCTGAACCGTGGAGCATTACAGCACATGCTCGCCCGCGGCGCGGCAATCTCAATTTTAGTCAAATCAGGGATGTGTGTCGCAATCGTCGCGGTTCGAGTTTGTTTTCGCCATTGCTGCGGTGTCCTGCCCACGCTTGCCCCAGCTGCTTGCTCGCTTGACTCTTCCCGAGCCCCATCTGCCTCTTCCCCGAAATGACTCTCGGCCGATGGCGGCTTCCTTCGTTCCTGCCTCCTGACCCTTCCCATTCGCTTCCCCCACCCTGCTGCACTATTGCTGCGTCTTCTACCTGAATGCTGCCCACGACAACCCAATCAGCCTTCTCAGACTGGGCAGGGAAGAAAATCGCCTCTCTACAGTCTGGCAGGCAGTCCCAAAAATCTAATGGGGATGTGACATGGAACGCCAGTGTGATCATCACAAGACTTTTGCGAGACACACCCCTTTCACGAGGAAATCGAGTGGCGGGGGCAACATCTACTGTAGTTACATGATGGTGTGATGGGGCATAAGGTAGCGGAAGATTGGGGGGAGCTTAGTGCGACGCCTGAAAGATGGTGCGTGTGTCGCGCTCGTCAGACGAGCGATTGTGCATCTCCATTGGCCGTCTTGTTGATCTTCTTCTTGCCCTGCCAAGCCAACACCTCCCCCCCACCCACCCCGCGCCCCCACTCCACCACACCCGTGACACGGCAACCAAGCGGATGAAGAGCGTGTGGTGGCGAGAATCAGGTTCAAGAGCAATAGGCAAGCTGACCTGTCGTCATTCAGTGAATTCCGGTTTTCAAGCATTGTTGTCAGCAGCAGCAGCAGCAGCAGCAGCAGCACACCAAACGCTTCATACGACTGCAAGTCGGCTCCGACGAAACGCCACTAATCCACTAACACATTTCCCGCGCCGCGGGATATAGATTGTTTGAGAGTTCCAAGCCTGACCTCGAGAGCTTCGCGTTGCAGACGTCACGCGTCGCGAACAGGCACGTCATCTCTCCTAAGCTCGCTGATTCGCTGATTATAACAAAATATCCTAGGGTTCATCTGACAAGAGTTAGGTGGTTCTTAATAGCTGGTGAATCTTGAACTGCTACCAGTTCTGACGAACCAAGTTCCTCACGGCTCTAAACCTGGTGGCGTTACTACTTTAACCAGCAGCAGTTACCAAAGGTCGCCAAATTAGCGGATTCCATAACTGTTACCCGCACCGCGGCAGCACGAGTCTTCAGCGATCCGATGTAATACTGAAGCAACGAGGGAGCACCCATCACCGAACCATCACGAGCCATAGCCAGCCGTCTTGCCCCATCTCGTCCCATCAGACCCATCACGAGCGCCGTAACGAGCAGCGGCGGCGCTTCCTGCTAAAGCACGGCGCGCTGACGGATCATGTGCCTGAGACCCGCGATATCTTCCGTTCCAGTCGGACCAAGCGGCGGCGCCGTCACGGCGGCGATTGACGCGGCACCGGGGCCGGCTGAGTGGGACTCGTGGGGCGGACTCCACGGGGGAACTGCGCAACCTACGGGAGGTGGCGGAGCGTTTCCGGCGGACGGACGCGCGGCGACGGCGGCGATGGCGGGGGCTGGTGCTACCGTCACGGACCTCCTGCTCAGTCGACAACAGCAACGGCAGCAGCAGCAGCAGCAGCAGCAACATCAGCAGCAGCAGGACGGATGGGCTGACTACCGGCAACAGTGGGAGCGGCAGCGCGAATCCCAGGGTCCAACGACTTTCATGTATGCCCACTCCCTGTCCCTCCTCCAAAATGGGTCCTTTCTCTCGTTTCCCCCCCTCCTTGATTTCGTCCGTTTCGTTCGCTTCGCCATTTCAAACTCTCCGTTTCATCCGTTCGTTATTTCTCCTTCCATTCCCCACACCTGTACTAACCGCGGCGCACTTTCCTCCGCAGCTGGACCGGCGATGGGTACGCCATAGGGACTGGCAATCGAGCGCAGCAACCTTCCGCGGACCTTCCGCCGCAGCCACAGGCGCAGGCGTCGGCGGCGCCCCCGCAGCAGCAGGGAGAGCCTACTTGGGCGCAGATGCCCGCTGCCGGCGGGCCAGGCGGAAGAAGCGCGGCGGCGGCGGCGGCGCCCAGTTCCGCGAGAGATGGTGATGCGCGCAGAGGCGCGCCGTCGCACCTGCTGGCCTTGCTCTCCAATGCTGTGCAGAGGCAGCAGAAGCAGCAGAACCCGCAGCAGCACTCGCAACAGCGCCATCCGCAGCCGCAGCCGCAGCAGGCGGCGAACCACACGGAAATCATGGCGCCCGTCGCACCGCAGCAGCAGCCGCCACCAGCGCCACAAGACGCATTGCAAGGCACGACGCCATGGGCCGCTCCCGCCTCGCACCTCCATACCACCACGGCAGCACCACCAGCAGCAGCAGTAGCAGCGGAGCCGCTGCTGCCTTCCTGGCAGCCCCTGCCGGCCCAGCAGCCTATGCAGCCGCTGCAGCCTCTGCAGCATATGGGGCTGACTCTCCCCACTGGCACCCCTTACGCCGCTCCTCCACTCGTCTCTCCTACGTCTGTGGTGACTACAACGGGGGTTCCTGGTCGTGCTGGGTTATCCATGGGCGGTGTGTACCCTGGAATACCGGGGCATGCAGCTGTGGATGAGAAGAAAGTCAAAAGGTGCGACCATCGCATTGCTCAAACTGCATGTCAGGGCTTCGCATCTCGCTCAACAAGGATTTAAGCTCCTCTATCAAACCTATCCCCTCTTATCGCAACTTGTCGCGCAGCCTTACTTCCATGTGCCGCTGCTCCCTCGTCTTTCTGCCTTGTTTCCTCCCCACGTGATCTTTCTGCCTCCTTTTCTTGCTCCCTCGAATATTCCAGACTGCTCCACTCCTCGCTTTAATCTCTGGGTAGTAATGCCTCCTACTTCTGCTCGCCGCTCTCTTTTCTTGTTTCCCCATGCAGAATGATGTCTAACCGAGCATCGGCCAAGAGGTCGCGCAAGCGGCGGCAGGAGCGACTGGAGGAGCTGGAGGTGCTGTCAGCCTCGCTTCACGTGGACAACGCGAGCGCGCAGCGCCGGCTGAACGAGGCGCAGGAAACCATCCGGCGCCTGCAGCGCTGCCAGCAGGCGCTCCAGCGCAGCGTTGCCGAGGCGCACGCACAACTGGCCGCTGCCACCGCTGCTGCCACTGCTGCTGCTGCAGCTGAAGATGATGATGATGATGAGGACGAGGACGAGGGGGAGGAGGAGGAGGTTAAGGATGCTCCTTCTGCTGGTGCTACACCTTCAGCTGCTGCTGTTGCTTCTGGTGGTGGTGGTGGTGGTGGTGGTGGTGGTGGTGGTGGTGGTGGTGGTGGTCAGCAGGGTGAAGGCGCTGGTGAGACGATCGCCCCCCTGCACCCGCTGAAGGAGGAGAGGCTGTTGCTGCGCACGCCACTGGACCTTGCGGGAAAACTGCAGGGAGGAATGGCCGGCTGGGGTGGAAAAAGTGGGGCAGGAGTGGATGCGGAGGAGCAGGACGAACAAGAGGGAGAGGAGGAAGTGGAGGAGGAGGAAGGGGGTGATGAGGATTGTGGGGATGGAAGCGAGGGCGAGGAGGAGCTGGACGAGGGTGCAGTGGGCGGTGTAAGTGCCGAGGCTGAAACGGGTGTGTTGAGTGGATTGGAAGGAGGGATTGGATGTGAGGTTGCAGCACCAGCCATGGCAGTCGACTTTGACTCACTACTTGCCTCTGCGCAAGGCATCGTGAATCCAAGTGCTAATGCCCCTGGTTCTTTTTGGATGAGTGGTTATGGTCGTAGCGTGGGGAGGGTGGGCTGATTGAAACCCATTTTATGAGAGATGAATGCATCCATAGCATGTACAGGAGATGCACGTGGCATGAAAATTGCAATATGTAGGGTGGAACTGTTTTTTTGCTATATTATTCCCTCGTGGTTTGCTACCAGAGTTGGTATTACCGTCATACCCCGGATATACCCCCATGGGGGGCAATAATAAAACAGGTTTTTTTAGGGGGGGTGGGCTTATAATCGGGTAAATTTATAAGCGCCGGCGTTTATAAAACGACATATATATTTTATATATGTTTTAACACCAAGCTGTAGATCTCGTGCTAGCCTTTTTCAATCGAGTCGAAGTTCTGTGAAATTTCTCGCGCGCGCTGGAGATACACCTACTCTGACAGCTCCTGACAGCTTCTGACAGCTTCTGACAGCTCCTGACTGCTCCTGCTGACTGGTCCCGCATCCAGTGCAGGGTCCGAATGTGAAGGGAAGCGAATCTGCAACACATCCCCCTGCTGAAGTAGAAATCGTTACAGTGTTTCGAACACAATTCAAAATTTAAAGTTTACGTGCGCTTATAATAAAACAAGTTTTTTCAGGGGGGTGCGCTTATAATCGAGCACCGGATATAAGCGCCGGGCGCCGATTAAAAGCGCCAGGCGCTTATCCGCGGGTGGCGCTTATATCCGGGGTATGACGGTATTGATGCGGCTGGTCTGTTCCAACTGTACCCAGAGGTAATTACATGGTGCCATGCCACTAAATTCCTTTGGTTATTGCCACGTTGCCAAGTTGTGAAACGGCCAGACAGGGTGAGAGAATGTTGTGTGACTGGTGTAAAACCAACTCTGAAAACACGTGTCTATCGACCCTACAGTGCGTAAGATATTCCACATGCAATCCCGGTATATTAGATAATAAAATTTCTACCCCGAACGGAAATTCGGAATGTCTGAAGAACCGCAGACAAAACCCCTGGTTTATCGAGTATTGTATTCGGAATGGAACGCCCACCTTCACTCCCCAGAAGCATGATGATTTGTGAGGTTATGCAAATCATCAAGTCGTTTGTTTTAAATGTGTAAATATATTACTAGAATGAGAAAACATCAAAAATGAATTTAGGCAGAGACGTTGGCCGCCAGGCGGGACTTGCCATAGAGCGTCTCCTCAAATCGCTGCACCTCCTTGCGGGAGCCATAGCACACTTGTGTGCGGACATCGGTGTTGGTGATAGGCTTGTCCAGCACAGAGATGAAACCGTCGCTGCTGTACCCGCCAGCGTTCTCAATGAGCAGGCCAAGGGGAGCAACCTCGAAGAGAAGGCGGAGCTTTGCCTTGGTGGACGGAGAGGTCACGTTGGTGAAGACACCCTTCTCCTTGATGAGGATCTACACATGAGAGAATATCGGGTAAATGACCTGAGCCACACAAACCGTCACACTAGCAGCATTGTTTCGTAACGTTGAGAGACGTACCTGACCAACATCGGGCACCATGCCACCAGTGTATCGGAGAGTGTACTGCTCGCTGACGTAGTGGTTGATGAGCTGCAAGGACAAGAATAACAAGGGTGAGGACGAGATATGTAACCGCTGAAGACCATTGCACAGGGAAACAAACAGACTGTTATATTCACTGTTCGCTTCTTTTGTCCGCAGCTTACCTTCTCATACTCGGGGTTGTCGAAGGTGGCCCTGAGGTTTCCGGGAGCGTACAGCTTGCCCTCACCAATGCTGTGGGTCTCCTTCACGTGCATCCACTTGCCTGAAGAAAGGTTCCGGAAAATTTATTAAAACACAGCCCAGCATGCGATAACATATCGATCGCGAGATCGAGACGGCAGAAATTATTCGCAACCCAGCGTAACGTACCATCGTCCATGAGGAGGAACTCGTGGGTGCCGGGGAAGCCATTGACGGCAATGATGTATGTGGTACGGGGACCATACACGCCCATAGCGGAAGCGGCCTGATCACGGCCAGTGACGCCCGTGAGCTTGTCACCGGGCCAGACACCGAAGATGGTGCCGACGGTGAAGTTGGTGTCGACAATGCTGCTACCATCAAGGGGGTCGAAGGCGACGCTGAAACCACCCTCAACTGGGCCACCCATGTCGAGGAGATCGGGCTGCTCCTCACTGCAAGCGTACTTGCAGACGTGAGAGAACCTAAGAGCCTGGAAAGAACATGTAATGGAAAGAGGAAAATTAGGATATGGAAACTGGACAATATAGCTTAATAAAGAACGTTCCAGCATCCAGGAGAAAGTACCTCGAACAGGAGCTTGTCAGCGAGCACATCGACGGCGAGCTGCTCATCACCGAAGGTGTTCACGCAGGAGGTAGCGGAGCAAGACGCCGTGCGGACCTTGAAGGCAATGGTACGAAGGGCCTCGCCCATGCACACAAGAAGGCGGGCAAGACCCTTGTCCGGGGTAGCCTTGGCGAGGAACTCCTCCTGCAGCAATCGGAAAGATAACGCTTAGATCGGGCAGTAAACATCCAAGAACAATCGAAACCATCTTGATTGAAATTAAGCACGTACCAGGGAGTCCCCAATCTCAGCCTTCACAACCGCCCTGGAGGCAGTCTTGGAGGAAGAGACAGCAACGGCACGGGACTTCAGGGCCTGACCAGCAATAGAGCTCTTGCAGACGCTCTGCAGTAGATACGCAATGGAAAGCGAACGGGGAAATGAGCACACTGGGAACTGCAGGCTGAACGGCGCGAGTGACTACCGGAAGCAACAATCAACGCTCTATAGGTCACAGCCGAATAGCCGGGAATGGTGTTGCTGAAAACTGAGTTTTGTCGACACTCACGAGGCTCTTGCCAACAGCAGGCGCAACAAGGGGAGCAAAGCCCACAGTGACCGCATCCTTCTTCAAGGACGCAGTGGGAGCGGCCACGAAGGAACCGCAAGCGACAGAGGAAGACAGCGCAGCGGCCATGTTGTGCTGTGGTAGTCTGTCGGCAGTGTGGGAGAATGTGCTGTTGGGAAAGGGAGTGCTCTTGCTTTCCCAGAAATGGCCGTGAGGAATGATATAAGGCAGCCTGTGATCCTTCGGCTTGGTTGCTCAAGGGATGTGTGGGGCTGGGAGTGGTTGCTGTGCTGTGGGGCTCTCGTCGCTGGGATGGTGGAGCAGCGAGCAAGCCTGCTGCTGAGTTTCCCCATGGCTAAACGGAAGGTAGGCTATTCCAACAGAGATGGATAAGGTCTTCATTGACACCAGTCGACGCCACGCGGCATACTCCTGTCCGCGTTACCAGGGCTTATTGTGCCACCTGTAAAAAAGGTTGGGATGGAAGTGAAGGGCCCCACCTGCCTCATATTAAGCTGTACGTGGCATTGCCACGCGGAACAGGCAAACAAGGGCAACCAAGAGATGGAGCTTGTCGACACGTCAGACGTCCAAGACAAAGGGTTGTGGTGTTGCAACGGGCGAAGTGATGAGACCGTAGATCTTGAGCCATCAGACGCCATTAGTCAAAAGCGAAGATGACACGTGCTGTGTACACTGCGACGCGAACAAGAAGTGATATTTGTGTGACTTGGATAATTTTCACTAGACCCCCCAACGAACGGTGGGAGGGGAAAACCAGGTTATTATCCTGAAAAGGGATGTACGTATTCAAGCCCTACCCTCACGTTTGCAAAAGAGGGCAAGGATGGCATGTATCCAGGTGAGCTAAAACATAGTGAAATTTCAATAGAGAAACATACCAGCGTTGCAGCCTACTACCCGTAAGTAGGCACAACAAATCAGTAATGTACCCAATCCTCCCAGCATTTTCTTGTTGGTTGCTTGGTTGTTGATTGTTTTTTGAGATTTTGATGATGGATATAGTACCGTATGGCCCCGGATATAGGCGCCGGCCTATTACAGGCGCCGGCGCTTCTATCTGGAGCATGGCGCTTATGGCCGTTCCTCGATTATAAGCGCCCCCCCCTTTGTACTCTTCCTTATTATAAGCGCCACCGTTAAAAGTTTTTACTATTTTTTATAACATTACAATTTCAAAGAACTTATCTATCTACGGGGAGTTCTAAAAACACTACACCATGCCATACAGCAGGCCCCTAGGGGCGATTTTCTACCTAGGTGTTAAACTACTCCTCGTCAGATTCCGGCTCCAGGCAGTTGTTGCCAAAGAAGCCGTAGGCGACGATGTCGTCGTCGACATCCACTTGTTCACTCAAATGCACATGTAGCATCCAGGTGCTGTGTACTAACAAGGTACCAACTGAAAGATGGCACTGCCACTGACGTAGGTAAGTCTAAACTATTGGCTCCATCCAACTAAATAACAAGATCCCTAGACAATAGAGAAAAAAGAAAGAAAATACTCAAGGTTATCTGTTCCATACTTCCCACTCAGAAGTTAAGCGCACCATTGCATCGCATCAATTATTCCCTTCCCATACAGCTTGCAGCTATGGTCATCCAGAAGCACGTCACTTAAAATGATGCGCACTAATCGGGGCTTGGGGTCAGTTCCGCGCACCACCACATGCGACAAGGCAGGACCATGCACGGCGGCTGCTGCGCCTTCAGCCTTAGCAGCTTCACCTTTAGCGGATTCATCTTTAGCAGCTTCACCTTTAGCGGATTCATCTTTAGCAGCTTCACCTTTAGCGGCTTCACCGTTAGCAGCAGGGGCATCGCCGCTCTGCAGCTTCTTCTCCTCGTCAAACATCCCGCGCTCGTCCATGTCTTTTTCTTCCGCCACAAACAGCTTCTCCTCCTCGTGCTTCTTCCGCTTGGCGGGAGGAGGCGGCAGGTTGAACTGCTCCTGCAGGGCGGCGGGTGGTTTGCGCAGAATGTGGTAGAGCTGCCCCGGAGCCACCAGCCGCACCGGCGAGGGAGCAGCGGCTTTGGGATCGCCCTTGGCTGCCAGGCAGTCAGCACACGGGGATGGGAGGGCAGACGGGAGAGGAAGTCACAGGGAAGAGAAGAGCTGAGGAAGGAGATGCGAATGTGACGGGAGTTGAAGAAAACATGAACATGCTAGTCCCGCACCCCCTCTGACGATCTTTCTCTTTCTCTGTTACCCGTGCACTTCACTCAACCCATCCACCCACCCTCTCTCAATCACGCCAAAGCACCCACCAGGAGTATTTGCCGCAGCAGGGGCAGATGCAGCAGAAGGGGCTGCACGAGATTGGTTGGAGAGGCGGGAGGGGGAACAGGTAGTGCAGCGAGAGAAGAGAACAGGCAGGCGTGAGGCACTTATGAAAAAGTGACAAGGAGTGGACACAACAGACACAACACAAGGTGAAACAGCTCGATCCATGCGACACCCCCTTGCTCATGGTTCGGTTCGGCTCATTGACAGTCTTATCCTTGCCCCAGCCATCCTTGCCCCTCACTCCACTCCACCCGCCCACCCCCCACCCACCTGGCGTCGCAGCCGCAGGAAACGCAAAGAAACTGCCTGCATACGTCAGCCACCCTCCCCATCCGTCGTCCGCCCCTGCCGCTCCTGCTGCACCTGCCGTCCCCCCAGCCGCTGCCCCACCTTTCCCAGCGCCAGCAGCAGCAGCAGCAGCAGCAGCAGGAGCGGCAGCAGGAGCAAAGCTGAACCAGGACGCAGCCTGGGAGGAGAGCGTGGGGAGCAGCTGGCCCTGGGAGATGCCGAGAGACGTCTCCAAAGCAGACTGAGAACCGGACGCCAGTGACGCCAGGCGCTTTGCTGTGGGGTTGTCCCGCGCCACTGCCGCCCTGTTGGGGGGAGAGGAGGGGAGGGAGAGGGAGGGGGGAGGGGGTGTGGGTTAGGGAGAGGGGTCCCGGGGGGGGAGGAAGGAGAGAGTGGAGGATGAGGGGAAGGGTGTGTGGATCAGGGGAGCGGAGGAGGTGAGGGGGATGGTGGTTGGAGGAGGGAAGATGAAAATGAGGAGGCAGGCAAGGTGTGAGGAGTGGGGGAGAGGGGAGAAGATGAGAGGGGGCTTGCAAGGAATGTGTGGGGATGGGTGCGAGCAAGGGGGAAGGGAGGGGAGAGGGGAGGAGAGGAGAGAGAGGAGAGGAGAGGAGAGGAGAGGGGAGGAGAGGAGAGGGGAAGAGAGGTGGAGAGAGGAGAGGAGAGAGGAGAGGGAGAGAGGAGAGGAGGATAGAGGAGAGAAGGAAGAGGAGAGAAGATGAGAGGAGGAGAGGAGAGGAGAGGGGAGGGGAGGGGAGGGGGAGGAGAGGAGAGGAGAGGAGAGGAGAGGAGGGGAGGGGAGGGGAGGGAGGGGAGGGGAGGGGAGGAGAGGAGAGGAGAGGAGAGGAGGGTAGGGGAGAGGAGAGGAGGGGAGAGGAGAGGAGAGGGAGAGGAGAGGAGAGGAGAGGAGAGGGGAAGAGGGGAGAGGAGAGGAGAGGAGAGGAGAGGAGAGGAGAGGAGAGGGGAAGAGGGGAGAGGAGAGGAGAGGAGAGGAGAGGAGAGGAGAGGAGAGGAGAGGGGAAGAGGGGAGAGAGAGAGGAGAGGAGAGGAGAGGAGAGGAGAGGAGAGGAGAGGGGAAGAGGGGAGAGGAGAGGAGAGGAGAGGAGAGGAGAGGGGAAGAGAGGGAGGAGAGGAGAGGAGAGGAGAGGAGAGGAGAGGAGAGGAGAGAAGAGGAGAGGAGAGGGGAAGAGGGGAGAGGAGAGGAGAGGAGAGGAGAGGGGGGGGAAAAGGGGAGAGGAGGCGCACCAATCGGTCTTGAGGATCTCGTTGCGGAGGTCGGTGATGGCCGACAGGGAGATGCGCGGCACCACATCGTCCTGGTGTGTGTTCATGCGAGTGGGAGCGAACCGGAACAAGGTGGGAGCCGGAATTAATGGGTGCGCGCACATGTGACAATATGGGTGGATTGCAGTGGTTGCACGGGGGTTGGAAGGGAGTTCGCAAGGAGCGATGCGCGTTGCACTCCAAGGAGGAAATTTTGCAGAGAGCAGTTCGTGCAAGCATAGGGGCAGTGCGTCAGTTGAGCAGCAATGAGCGGTGCGCGATGTCGGCATCGCAGTCATGTGTGGCACTGGCATGCCACCACTTGCCATGCGCCGCATGCATGCCATGTGCCATGGGTCCTGTCCTGTGTGCAGCATGCCATGCAGCGTGAACCATGCCCCACATCACATTACGCATACCACATGAATCATCATCTTCCTATGCGAGCGTTACCTGCAGCACGACAGTGTTGAGGAAGGAGGAGGTTTCGGCAAGATTCTGCGACACCACAGCAGGGCATGCGTAGGCCCAGCAGGTGGGGGTGAGAGCGGCCGGGGGGAGCGTGAGGGAGAGGGAGGAGACTGTGGGCGGGTCACGCAGCAGCATGGCGAGCAGCGCTGCTGTGCCCGCCCCCAGGGAGTGCCCCGTCGTCACCAGCGAATAGCCCTGTGTGGTGCATGCGGTGGGATGCATGTGGTGGGATGGGGCGGGATGGGATGGGATGGGTTGCGGTGACTCGGAGGGTGGAAAGCAAGGGGTGGGACGGATAGAGGGATGGAGAGTAGGAGCGAGCGGCGGGAATGCAGGCAGGGAAAAAGAGCGAGGGAACGGGAAGGTGCAGGGTGGGACGGTCAATGCGGCGGGGTGCAACACACAACTTTGAGAAAAGCAAGTGCGGCGAGAAGAGGAACACGACCGGGGGAAATCATCTATGCAAAACAGCATGGCAGGACAAGAGCGAAAACGAACACGACGAAGGAGGAGGAGAGGCGAGACGCGGGTCACACAGAACAGAACGAGCACGAGAGAGCGGTGGCAAGGCGACTGACAGGATTCTGCTCGAGCAGCGTTGCGATGAGCTTGCCCTGCTTCGTGGCCACCCACTTGGCGGATTCCAACATGCCCACGTGCGCGTACCTGCGAACGCCGCGGGAACGGGGGAGGAGGATTGGTCACGGGGAGGGGAGGAGGAGACGAGTGCTTGGGAGACGAGAACGGCGCGATTAGAAATGAGAAAGCGAGGCGGCGTGAAAGGAGAGGTCAGTGAGCGACGTGGGTGATGATTGTGACAGGGACGGGGACGGTCCTGGTGACGCGCTAGTGATGGCGAGTGTCGACTCGACATACACGCAACACCCGTAGTTTGGAATGTCTTTGTTCCAGCGCCACATAAACTAACATCCGCGCCATTCACGCACGCACGCACGCACGCACGCACCCGCCAGCAAAGGGAACTCCGGCGGAGCAGAGGTCCGTGAGCCCGTCGGCGGAGCTCGACGTGCCGCGCACGCCCACCACCACGCACTGCTTCTCCGCGCTCACCGCCACGTAATGCGCCGGGCGGAACACCGCGGACTCGTTCACGTGCTTGTGGATGGCCGACGGCGGGACCTGCGAAGGGTGGGTGGCAGCGCGCGGTGCAAAAGGTTGATAATGAAAATTTCAAAAAAAAAAAAAAACATTCTGCAGAATCGATTCATAAAAAAATCGTGGGTGGTGGAAGGATGAGAGAGACAAACGTGGGAAGCATGGGAGAGTGGGTGGTGGAAGGATGAGAGAGACAAACGTGGGAAGCATGGGAGAAGGTCGGAGTGGGCAGGAGGGAAAAGGCAGTAGGCAGAGCAGGAGGGGATTGTGAGATAACAAACGCACTCGCACCGCGTGTTTCCATGCGTCCTTGTTATTCCTACTGGAAATGCAGCCATGGATACATTCGAATGTCTCACCCTGAGATGCGTCGCGAGGGCGGCAGTGTCTGTCTCATATGCTGACATGGCCCACCGCAGCCAATGAAGAATCTCCTCCAGGTCATTCCTGGTGAGATGCGTTTGGGTTAGATGTGTTTGCCAGGTTGTGTGAATGGAACGGAGGGAGGACAGACGGAATGCGGTTTCGTTCAGCCGCATGTGGAAACAACGGATCGTGTGACTCATTATCGTGAACGGATCGCGAACGGATCGTGTGTGGTGGTAGCTACAGGTGTCATTTATGTGACTTGCAGCTGGCGTTGCAAGGGATGCGACGACACAGCATGTGCTGGAAACGGGATGATCATCGAGCATTGCCCCTCTCCTCCTCGAGGACAAAAAACTCCGCGACAGCTGCAATGTAGTCACCCCGTAGCTGCATGCGAGATTCAATGCACCTACAGTGCCTCCGACCACGAGTCGTCACGTCATCCCCTCGCTCCCTCGCTGACTCACATTCTCATCCCTATCCCCCTCACCCCTCCCCTCCCCGTCCCACGCATCGCCACCCGCACCGGTTGCGCACGACG